ACATGCATATGGACATAATTCGTGGCTAAATAAAGATTCATTTGCTTTGTATTTGCTTCCTGTTCTTTGTACAAAGAGTGAAATGTTAAATACCTTTATAATAAACACATTTCAATCAGAAAGTGCACCTGGAAAAGTTTGGGCACCCCTGGTCTATGGTAACAATGAATGAATAATGTCTAGAACCAAAACCTATCAGACAGACAAATCTCTAATCAACACATGAACTCAGTCACTGCCAGGATTAAATCAATAATATAAACTTTAGAAAATTAGTTGTGTAACTTGCTACTTGCCATGTTCTTTGTAGGTGATTCTCGTCTGCAGCAACACCACCAAGCTTGATCAAGTCTCAGAGCCCAGCACTTGTGTGTACTCTTTAACCTTCAAGACCCCTCTTGTTTGCCATCCACATTCTCTTTTGGGTAAGGGAGAAGAACCATCTTACCACATAAGTCAGCAGGGTATGTAAATGGTAACAATTTTTCTTTGTCCGCTCTTTTTAAGTGTACCCAACCCTGACTGAGAAGCTGCAAAGGGAATGGGATGAAGTTGAACAAGCTCACTATGAAGGTCTTATTACTGATCAAGTAAGGAGCAGTTAGGCAGAGACATGACTGGTTTGATTACTGCCTGTAACAGTTCTGCTTGCAAGATGGCAAAATATAAACACGTACTTTCTATCGAACACCCAGAGTGATTCAAATAGTGACATTTAGTCTGTTCTGTTGCATTGGAAATTATTCACCTATATACAAGCTGTTATATTCTGAAATTTCTGCTCTTTTATTCTACATTAAGTCAATTATCTGCTGGTCTTATCCACTAACACATGATGTATGTTTGGTTCAGGGTTATAATAATCTTTTGAGGGATATTTTTGAGGATGCTGGTCTCCTGAAGAGCCAAAGAGTGAAGGTCCAGCTGCCAGAGGCTGCATCCAGCTTAAAAACATTCAACTCTTTACAGAAATGTACAGAGGTAAGTACATTTATACAAATATTTAAATAGTCTTCCAAATAGTCTATATGTTTCAGGATACTGTTTATAATCTTTTTGTACAGGACCTCCAAAAACAGAGAGAGGAGATTGAGAGACTGCATGCTCTACTCAGTCAACATAATATTCCTTTTGATGTAGAGCAAAGTAAGTAAAATCAACTAGGTTTTCACTCATTTAGGTTTTATACAGTATGTAGTACCATCATTTTCACCTGTAATATTTATATCCTATAGATGAAGCAAAAGATACAGCAAGTGTGACCGTTAAGAATCAACACCTGAGGGGAGACACTGGCCTCATCGATCTGCAGTGAGAACCACCTGGACCAAGTCATAGCCTCCATTTACACCTGGCTTAATTGTGAAGATTTAGTTGAGTTTTTGGCAGGCTTACAACCTCTATATAAAACACTGAGCCACTAAAAAATGAAGACATGGTACACTGGGAAAACTGGAGGCTTTTTGCCAAGTAGGGGGCGCTGTCAGAATAAATCTACAACTAACATACATTTTATTAAATGTGATGTATTTTTCATGTGTATGTGTATCAACCCAAAAGGCACAAGTGGTGTAAAAATCTTTTTAGAGTGATGTATTATCTGTGTGGCTTGATACAATCACAGAAAGGTATTTAAATGTTTATTGTACTATTTGTATTTTTTAGAAATCCAAGAAGTAAGGTCAGGTCACCACCCTATCTACATACAGAGACTCAGTTTCCTTCCTGTTACAAATTTATAACCAGAATTAAGAGTCAGAACTAGTGGTTGTGTAGTGCAGTAAGCCTACATTTTCCCTGCTACTGTAGCCATAACTGGCAGCTGGTTCTTTGCTAACTTCATGTACCTGAGTAGGATATAGAGATGTGGATTATAAATACAGTACATGGTTATATGAGCAAATATAAACGTTCTAATTGGGTTACAACACTTGTTCCAAAAATAAGTACATAAACAAATCTCAAATGCGCATGCATTGCACATGGACTTCTGGTTTGGATTAGGGTTTTTTTCCACAAGTGAGGTGTCAAAACAAAACATGCTTATAATGATGATACCCAAAGTGGATGAGAAAAGGTATTTTCATCAGTGACTTCACTGACTATGGGCCTTGACAAGCACATGAACGTGCCTCGACTATAAACATTCCAGAGAGTTAACTCTAAGGGTCTTCTTGGCTTTCTGGTTCATTTGTGGAAATTTGCATTTCTCATTTGTCCATGCTGATCAAACTGGACACTTGTTCTGTGAAATCTTAACATCTGGAGTTGAAAGAAGTCACGAGAATCAACTACTGTCTTTTTCTTAAAAGAAATGCTAACTTATTTTTTCTTTTGTCTTATATTTTGAAATCCTGGCTGTTAAAACATACATTAAAAAAATTGTAAGATTTCATATTTTCTAAAATGTTTCTGTGACTGATTACAATCAGGTAACAATGCACACAAAATGCCAAGACCCGGTAAAGGAAAAGTTACCTAAACACATAGTAATACAAGTAATAGTTGATTGATTAAAAACTCTCCCCTTGCCCCAACAGTTCTAAACTACTTCATATAAAAGCAACACTATTAGTCCAAGCCTGAGATCAGGGTTCAGTCCACAGATCAACATTTTTCAGTCTTAGTGAATATTGTCTTCCTTTAGTACTAATGTGTCAGGAAAGCAGCTGGATAACTTCTCTGGCTCTGTGTGCCCTCTGCTGGACAACCCTGTCCTCTGGTGCTTGTCCTGACTCCTCAACCAGAGCTAAGGCCTTTTGCACCGTTAAGTCCCTCGCCCCTCCACGAAGCCCCTCCAGGTACTGCAGCAACACAGCAAACTTTGTGTCTGGAATCTGAAAACAAGTTGTTTTTTTTTAATTGTTTGTATTGCTTTTATGTTGTTTATTATTTTACATATCATTTTTGGCTAATAGGGGAGAAAATAAGTAAATACTAGTAGCAAATATATGCTGTAATTCTAAGATGAGGTATATTTTAAATGGCAGCACAAGCACAGACATACTTTCAATGTATTTTAAACTACTCAAACAAGAAGACTGGTCAACCCCACATTCAGTCTAAACCTCAGCTGAGAAATGCTCCCATCATGAAATGTTCACACAGGCAACTTTTACCTTTTCACTGTCAAACATGTGCTGCAGTAACCATGTCTGCCTGATCTTCTGGAACTTCCACCTGCTACGGTTTTCAGCCCAGCTGCAATGACAAAGCCAGTGTGGGCTGTAGGTGTGCGCTACAATATTACATCATTAAAATCTTGCAAAAGGCAGACACTGTATGTACAGCAGGTGGAAAACATACATAATTAAGTACAATAGCACTTCAACAAACAACAGTTCTGAGTTATAGTGCTTACAAAGATTTATCAGAAAGATGTTGATTTCTCCTTTATAATGTTCACTGAATTGTGGACGTCCATATACACAATAAAGGGCAGGACACAATAAGAGAAACACCTTAAAGTTATCTATTGTGACAATTCCATCAAGCTGTGTGTGAGAGGGAAAAAAAAAGGAGTTGAAATCAAGGCAGCAGAGACTGAGGTGTCCTGACTTTTCATTTCTAATATGGGTAAATTTAAAAAACAAAATAAAAACTGCCTTCTGTGCTTCCCATAAAACAACCCAATAACATTTCTCACTAGATCCTGCCTACCTGGTAAATGGAAACATGTTGCAAACCCAAAGCTCAAGTTTGTAACAGAACAACTCAAGACGTCATCATCATGGTTTGGAAGACACAGGCAACAGATCACCATTAGATTGGCTCTTACCATGTGAGGTAATCCAAGGCCTGCTGAAGTGCCGTGGGTCCAGATGCTTCACTTTTCTGCAAAGTCTCTCCCTCAGTTTTAAGCCTCTTCAATTCCTTTTTCAGGATTTTCTTCATCTTCCTCTCCAGGACCCGCTTCTCCTCAGGACTCAAGTCCTCTTCTGCCTCTAGTTCATGCGTCCGCTCAGGGTGACCGGGGGGATCTGAAATCTGTCACAGCAAAAAAAAAAAAAACAAAGGTGCGTGGGAATTATCTATATTAACAGACCTTCCTTTTAGACCCTTGTGTTGTCGGTGTTCATGTAATACCTTTATAAACACATCTATAAATGACTCACACTGACTGTGACTGAATGATAAAATGTTAGAACAATAATTTAACTGTGTCCATTAACAGCCATTTTCTGTATTTTACAACCCTTGTACACCTCAAATCTTAAGTTTGATTTCTACTGAGTATAAAATAAATTTTGTTGTGCTACAGTGTAAAGACAAATGAAAACTAGATGCACTTCTGGGTTTAGATCACTTCCTGTTATGCTGCAGCTCACAGGGCAGTTTCCTGTATCTACAGCATATGAGGTCAGAAACACGCATTTATTCAGTGTGGTATGGTTCAAAGATACATCGTCAGATGCACTGGAAGATCATCAAAGATGGTAAAGTTTAATGTGGTGCACAACAGCCTATCAGCATTGCATTCAAAACATTCCCCTTTATTCACACCACACGCCTGTTTTTAAAAATACGCTGTTTTTTGGTGGGGGTTTTTTGTGGGGGGGGGGGATTACGATCACCTAATTTGCCTAGAGGATTATTTGACAATTCGCAAACAGCAAACAAATATTTTCAGGATCCAGTAACAAAAACACAATTTAAATATTGCCTTTATCCCTCACAAGACATTAAACAAGGAACACAGTATGCTCTCTGATTCAACACAATCAGCCAGCACAGTGTTGATGAAAAAAAAGGGAGGGGAGGAAAAGATTATGATCACATGGCCACGAAGTCATTCTAAAAGTATGCTGCTGGGGTATAGCGCACAGAAATAGAAAAGCGCTTCACAGTTGAGTGGTCGTGTCCACGCACAGAGCATCGTTTCCTGAGCTTTGAATCAATCTGCAGCATCGACCTGGTGGATACAAAGCAGGAGAGGAGCGGGTGACGACAGAAAAAATGGTAAGTGGAAACGTGTGCATTTTACTGAGCAGGCAGTTCCTCAAAGTGGAGCAGGCAAAGCCTGGCCAACAGGGACTGGTGACCACAGAAAATATTTAGGAAGAAAACTAAGCTACTGTTAACTGTATTTTTAATTATCACTATATATATTTGTAAAGTTCTACACTCAATATCTCTGGCTACTTCAATTCAACTGAGTTAATTTAGGAAGGAAACATACTCTAGCATGTTGTAAGTGTTTGTTCCTGTGGACAACCCATTTACTGACAGGCTGAGCAGTAGAAAGCACTGCTGAATTTGCATTAGAAACAGCAGAAATATCCGTTTAATTCCTCAAGCAACGTGGCTCTTTCTGTACACTAAGACAGGAGCTGATTTACAGAAAATATATTTATATCCAAATATTCTGAACTTTGAGGAAATGCTTCATGTTTTTGTCCTTTCATTTCTAGTCTAATCAGAGCAACACCACCCAAACACCACTTTCCAACAGCTCCACCATCATGACTAACTCCTCTTCCACTGAGTCAGAAATTGCAGCAAATAACATAACCTCGAGAGCAAACTACGTCTACAGCTTCTTTGCAAGTCTAGCCTTGGTTGCAGGCTGTTTCCTGTTCTACAGCTTCATTCAGACCTACAGGGCCCAAAGACGACTGGCCTGGCTCGATCGTCTGCTCTGGGTCTTTTGTGGCTTCCAGCTGCTGCTGCTGCTCCTCTCTCTCCATGTTGTGGCGCACAGACCTGCCTACCTGAAGACCACGGTTCTGGGCTGTGCTGCTCTCTCCTTCTTCATCAACACAGCCTCTCTGTGTGGCCTGTTAGTCTTAGTGCTCATGGCTTATGTCTTAACCCTTGATCCACCATCCCATGCCCTGGTGCGGAAGCCTGGGGTCTGTGCAGCTTTGGTGGTCCTGACTTCTGTTGTGATCTCTCTGCTGCTGGCTGGGCTTCGTAAACCCGGAAAGGGTCTGCAGGAAGAGGAAAAGTGTCTTATGGATTCACCACATGTTTCCTATGCAGCAGCGCAGTTGTGTCTGGCTTTTGTGATTCCCACCCTCATACTTGGATTTCTGATAGGTGGCTGTGTCCGGCAGTGGAAATCTAAAGGACGTCTCCTCTCTGGCTCTGAGGAGGGTCCCATGTTCCTGACAGTCACTGTGGTCATGTTCTTCTGCCTGCTCTTCTACAGCATTGTGCTGGTGTGGGCGGCACAGCTACAGAGGGATAGGGCGCATTATGGGCAAGAGCGGCACAGCTACAGAGGGATAGGGCGCTGAGCCATTCTGAGCAAGCGTTTCTGAGCGTGGCTGAGTTTGTATTGTTCTCAGGGAGCAGTGCCAGTCTGCTGCTCATGCTGGTCATGCACCGGCCGTGTCGAGAGAGTCTCCATGGAGTTTTCAGGCAGCTGAGGGACTGTTGTCGTAGGCCAGGGCGCACGCAGCCCAACAGAAACATTATAACTCCACACATTGAGATCACAGACACACTGCAGGACATAGAGTCATAAAGGACAAAACTGAACTCTTCTAATGCATCTAATTAAAGACTTTTGAGTTCTGATGTATTAAACATTTTCTTTATGTTTTATTGTGCTTTTGCCATTTGTTTTTCTCTTTTGTAAATGTTTCTACATATATGCATTCTGCTTTTTAGTATCTGCAGTGACTGAAAGTGTAAAACTATCTGAAATAAATGTTTTGCTGCACCTCCTCAGAAGTGTGCAAAATATATGCACAGACCGTATTTTTGCTATACAAAAAATGTGTTCATATTGTTGTCAGAAATCAACAACTATGACTAAGACAAGTAAAAAGTACTTATTGTTGGTAGCATGAGCAAGTTTATAACTTTTGAGCCTGCTTTTAGACTCGCCTCTCTCATTCACATGCACACCATTTGCACAAAAGCCCATTTGGACAAAATGCCTGGAAAAACCTCTGCACTTCCCAACCGCCACACATGAAAAATCCAGTCTTGGAAAATGAAAGTCAGATGCTAGGTTTAGGCCAACTGTAAAGGTGTTAAAAATTACAGAATCTCTGTGCCAGCAGAGTGGTGCAAAACCTGGGAACCAGTAGAAAAATGAATACAGGAGCTGGACTGCATAAATTGTCATCAAGGAAGATGTCAGGCCTGCTTCACACTGAGTAAAATCACTGTGAAATTCACTTTAAGTCAAGAACCTAAGATAGGATATGCTATTTCTCATAAGGAACTCACAAAATCATTAAAGGCACTGCTACAGCTCTTCTGTCTCTCCAAGCAGACCACAGGACAGAAAACGAATCAGATCGCACCTCGGACTCTGCAGATGTTAACAACCCTTGTGAAACTAACACCTATGAAACTTTATTGTTAGCTACCATTAACACCAGCTCAACACAGAAGTGTAATGTGGGCAGGACAATGTGCATGACTCCTTACTGAGTACAACTCCACTGTATAGCTGAATGACACACAGGTAGTGGTCTCAGACTTTCTGCGTGCGGCTTCAAAGAACCATCAGCATTACATTATCAGTCTCATCCTCTCCAGCCTCTACATCATATTCGTCTTTCCTGTTGGCTTCATTGGGAGTATCCTCATCTTAGTGGTCAACCTGAGCTACAGTGGCTGCTTGAAGGCCCCAGACCTCTATTCTGCGAATGTGGTCGTGGTGGTGGCCAAATCAGGTGTTCAACCTGAAGCAGGGCTACTATGACAAGACTGGGCTCTGCATCTTCATGAGCCTGTTCCAGCAGCTTAACATGTACAGTAGCATCTTCTTCTCAGCCTGGATGAGCTTTTCCCAGTTTGTTGCACTGAGTGGCTTCAAGGGCTGCAGCATGCCGTGTGCACGCCTCATACGGAATTCCTCATCCTTGTTCACTCTGCTGCCTTTTGCGATAACTCAAACACAGCATGCTGGAAAACTCCACTTGTGCTTTGCTGATGTGACCTAGATTTAGTGGCTGGAGATGATGCTATGCGATAACTCAAACACAGCATGCTGGAGAACTCCACTTGTGCTTTGCCGATGTGACTTAGATTAAGTGGCTGGAGATGATGCTGAGATTCCTGTTACCTTTCTGCATCCTAGGCCTGTGCTACTGGAGAATAGCACAGGTGCGCCAGCGTATCCAGAGGGAACGAGGCGGCTCATTTACAGCTTCCTCGGGGAGACCTTCTAGGATGAAGTGAGACTTTATCTCCAGCAGAAAAGTAGATGGGCTAAGCTTCACAGGTCACTCTGGAAGATCCATCTATACATCAACTTCAAACACTATCACCCATATAATATGTGACAGAACAGGCCAGTCCATATATTTAAGCTTCAGCATCCTCCAAACAAATTGTTATACTCCCCTCAAATAAAGACCAGCTGCACACAGTATGCTACACAGATAGCACATAGGTATTTGTACAACTACTTTAAAACAATCAATATTAATGAACAATTTAAAGGTATAATTAAAATAATTAGAACATTTAAGGACACATTATCATCAATTAACCATCTTACCTCAGTTTGCTGTGCCTGTGTTTGCAACATCATTTGTTTCTTTTTGCATTGCTTGTCCTTTTTCTGTTTTTCATCCCCTGCTGTGCATGTGACATGAGAAATCTGTAAGAAACAAAGGGATTCAGTATTGTCTGTTTAATCTATTTCTAATAGCCTACAGGTACAAGGGACTGTACTACTCACCTTTACTGCCATCTTTTTCCTTTTCTTTTTCATTTCAGTAACCATCACTCCTTCCACATGAACTTCGTTCACATCTAAACCTAATTTCTTCCTTTTAGGAAGATTCGATTCTGATTTCAAAGACTTGCCTTTGGCCATGAGATAATTTATTCCTACAGACAAAAACAAAGGTTTTGCTAAAAGACAGGAATATAGAGATGGTGTGGGTAGTACTAAATGGACAGACAATGTATTCTAAATTAACTGTTTAAAAATTGTGGTGGCATTAACAAAGCCCAGTGGGCGCCACACTGACAGCACATGAGTACGCATTTGGACAGCACCTACAACTAAAAATAACAAAAAAACCCGTATTCCCAACCATATCCTATTATTGCTGATGGTCTGATGTTCCTATGTGCATGACTACATACGTTTTATATTCGATTTCTTAGGCCAAATGTTAACCGTTATAAAACACTAGTGTTATAAAACACTAATCTGGATAGCGTTGTTCCCTCGACCTCTACATAAAAATGCTATCACCACCACCAACACAAAAGACGTAATAATGGATCAAATATTACTTTTAACACCTAGTTCTCAGAGAAAACGTAAAATTATTTCACTTACGAAACAGACGCACTGCAAACACCAAGCATGGGAAGCCAACCAGGAAGTGATGTCGCCAATAATGAAGCATGATTGGACGAATATCGCTCTTTACTTTGTGATTGGTTAACGGGCGTGAGTGCTTCAAAGAACCTCGATAAAAAAAGAGCAGGATCATTGAACGTCTCTGATATAAACACACAATCAAACTACTGAAGTGAGAAAAAAAATCTAGATCGCATGTTTCATATATATGTTAAAAGGTTTTTAAAAACCACTAAAATGTCAGCGTTAAAACATTATAATCTATAAGGAAAATAATGGTAAGCTGCAGCTACAGCCAAGACTGTTGTATCAGGAGATGAAATTGACTTTTTTGCAAAATAACTATTACATATAAACTAATCTGACAAATACATTTCTGAAGACTATCTGTCTTCACTATGATAAAACATTTTCAGAATATAAATAATGGCAATAATTGATATTTGATTAAATAGTAAGGCGTGACGTTATTTCAGACTCCTCCACATTGTAATGGAACGGTCCACACTTGCGTTCAACATTTGCGCCGGAAGCAATTCAAGGTTGCAGAACGCATTGGATGCATACAAGGAGGAGACTATACTCTTTGTAGAGGGTGTTTGATAAGAAAACCTTCTCTTTTATTTAAGTAACACTGGGTACCTTAAAACGGCAAGTTGTCCGAGATGTCTACAACAGTAAGACGAGTTTTCACCATGGTTTTCTCCAGTCTGACACGAGTCCCTTACAGTCGAGGGATGTTAAGTTGTGAAGTCGCCTCAACCGTGAGGTGATTATATACCTGTGCTGCACTAACACAAAATATGTCGACTTACTGAAAACGTTTTACCTTTAACGAGTAACACTTTATAAAGTACAGTTCTTCGTTTTATGGTTATATTTATGCTTATCGTTACATGTCTAGATGTTTTACATTTTTGCAGTTGTATAGCGGATGTTTTACGTCATTTTTTTTTTTGTCTCTTTCTGGGATATTTTGCAATCCAGGGGCCCCTGGGCCTGTGACCAGCACACTCATTCAGTAATCCATCCATATGTCCACTGACTTGTGATATAAATTTTAATTGCATATAGGACTGAAATTTCAATAATGTTGGACAGTTGTGTGCCACCAGTGTTCCATAGCAGTTTATAGTGTGTATTTGAATTGTCTATAAATTGAGCAGTTTCAAGATTTGTCTCTAGGTGGCATTATCACTGTCTGGTAAATAAAAACATGATCTGTAAAATCAAGTCTCCAAAACTGGGGGAAAGGTGCATACTCCTAAGTCAAAGTCAGTCTTGGCAATGTCTTAAATGCATATTTCTTTGTCAGCAGATTGAACAGTGTGCAGCCCCTCAGCCTGAGCTCTCAGAGGTCAGCCAGGTCCAAGAGGCCCACAGATGATGAAGAGGTCAACAGTGAGCCCATGAAGTTCTCAACCAGTAAAGGCAGCCACAGTGCCTGGAAAGTTAACTCCATGGGGAGCCAGCATGCACAGCCATTGAGGAGAGTTCTCTCCGTTAGCTTGTTGTTCAGTGCCTTCCTTCTGTGGTGTGCACTGAGAGGGGAGACGGACATCGATGCACAGCTGGGCAAGGAGTTGCATGAACAGTTACCTGACTTATTTCAAAGCCCGGGAAATGAAGGACAAAAGCCAAAATAAATGTTAACATATGCAAGATTTAAGTTGTACATATTTCAGGTTATGTATTTTGTGAAATCCATCTGTTATATTTCAGACCGTAGCACCAGCTCATTGTTCTGACAACACTGAAGGTGTAAGAGTGAAGCCACCCATGGCTGCAGACTCATGAATTTTAACAAAAATTAATTGTAGACTGTCAGAAAATACTGCCTCTGGTTTTAGTTGGCCTACCATAAGTGGATTAAAATGCCTGGATTTGAACCAGTGAACTTTGGCTTCATCTGCCTTTCTATGATTGATGTACAGACTGGTGACAGGAAAAACCCAGTGTCTTAGGAAAGTGTTGAACAACCATGTGTCAATGTGCTTAACTTGACTTGATTCTACAAGTTTCTGAACTCTACTGGAGTGGTGAAGACCAAAAGATGTCATTTGGTGGAGAGCACTGTCTCACCCATCCCTCCAAAATCTGCCATAGATGTTCAGTTTGGTTGTGATCTGGTGACTGAAGGTCATAGCATGATTCAATGTTTGGAGAGTTAAGTGTTTGTTGGCTAGAGACTGGTAACATTTAAACTGAATTAGCCAAAGTGGGTGCAGGGGGGTGTTCCAGGATGCTGCAACATCCTGTTGAGCCTTCTCTCTGTTGTGGGCCTAACTCAATGAAGCTGTAAGAGGGTACACACACACCTGCCTTCACTCAGCCACATCTGAGCAAATACAATGCAGATACTGTGTTAAGTCACATCTGCTTTTTGCTTAGGTGAGGACAGAATTCTGGAGTGTTTCGTTTTAGGGTTGTCTGAAACGTGGTGTTGCTTATTGTGGGGCTATGCAAATTTATGACAGCATGGCCCAACACCACCTTTGGGGCCCCAACTTGTAAACGGCCTTTAAGACATACTGAGCTTCCATATGAATACTCTTGCCTTCTTTGGCATAGCGCATTGACCCACTTCATTTTCACACAAGCCATTTAGTGACCTTGTGCCCTATGAATGGGAGCCCTTATTTAAAATTGTCACACCTGCACATTACATTAAGTGAAAGGTAAACTGCTGAGAAAGCCCATACCAGTTATTTTACAAACTCACGCAAAGTTGAAGTAGTTTAGGACTTAGCATTTTTTGGAATTATGAAGATTTAAATTCAGACAGCCAAGACTCTTCTGGTTTGATTTTTAGCCACAGAAGTTTAGATTTACAAGTTAAATACTAAAATTGGAGTAGGTGCTCTTAGCTTGTGGATGTTATTTATACAACTACATGTGCGGAGAAATTGAAATCTTTAGGCCAAGAACGAGGTAGTGGAAAGTTTATTTACAGCACAACAAGAAATCTATGACATGCACACAAGATCTGGGTACAGATTCTAAAATACACCTGCAAACCTGAGAAGGGCAGTGGAATATTCTGTTTACACAAGTCTTTCTACAGTGAATAGGACAGAAAGTGAAATGAAAAGTACAAAAACATGCTGATACTACAAATGACAACTCAGGTGGTACACATGCTGTAATAGTTAAAGATTTACAACGCAAACCCTAGTCAGTCCCATATGCCCCCACCACACCCCACTAAAAAGATTAAAATCCAATTATTTATGCGCGCTCCCCTCTGATTCGCCTGGCCAGCTGAATGTCCTTGGGCATAATGGTAACCCTCTTTGCATGGATAGCACACAGGTTGGTATCTTCAAACAGTCCAACCAAGTATGCCTCACTGGCTTCCTACACAAGAAAAATTAGGTTAAACCTCTTAAACCCACAACTGGCTAAAATGAAATTAACCTTGAACTAAACAAGCAGTATGTCAAAGAAAAATACCAAAAAGATTGAAGTGCCATCTTACCTGTAGAGCGCCAATAGCTGCACTCTGGAAACGCAGATCTGTCTTGAAATCTTGGGCTATTTCCCTGACAAGACGTTGGAAAGGCAGCTTCCTGATGAGCAGTTCAGTGGACTTCTGGTACCGCCGGATTTCACGCAGAGCAACAGTACCAGGCCTACAAAGACAAAAATGCTATCTTTGAGATGCCAAACCACCACTACATGCTTTATCATTTTATGCAAGCTTGAACAGTATCAGTACAGTGTACTTAGTTACACAGCCATCAGTAGGGAAACCTGAAACCTCAGGAGAATGTGTACCTGTATCTGTGGGGCTTCTTCACTCCGCCGGTAGATGGCGCGCTTTTCCTGGCAGCTTTGGTAGCCAGCTGCTTCCTAGGCGCCTTTCCTCCGGTGGATTTACGAGCAGTCTGCTTGGTACGAGCCATACCTCACCTGCAGGTCTCAAACAGAAGTTAAGTCAACTATTGCATTTCCTTTAATGTACCCCAGAATTACAATCTGGCGTTTAGTGGACTAAGCCAACTCCCTAGGAAAGTACCCTTAACCGTTAAGCATTTCTCCAATGGCACGTGACTCACAACCTCGTAGGATAAAAATAGTACCTGCTCCTCAATGTGAACTGTAGAAAAGCTTTATTAACATTACGAGCGGCGACTCTAAGTCTGTGGGTCTCCTCTCTGTAAGCAAATAGTGTATAAGCACTAATGATACTTAAATAGCTGCAATTAAAAAGATCTCGCGTATAAACCTATCCCAGGCTCCGCCACCATTAAGCTACAGGGGACGTACACGTTTCTTTGCTGTCGTTGGAGAGCAAATTTAAAGCTAGCACGGACGGTTGCAAAATGGCGCCAGCTTGCTATAACAGAGGTTTACATCGAAATTAAGACATCTCTATTATTGCAATCTGTTTGCTATACAACCATACAAACGAAGTAAATTGTTGGGCCTTTAACTGTAATATGGGTTTGTTAAGTTTATACAGAACACCTTAAACACAGCTAGCAGTTAGCCAGCTAGCTATGGCGGGCATCGGTTTTTCAGTTGACTGACCATCAATGCGATATTCAAAAATTCTAGCGTTCACATACAATCTATAAGTCAACGCTCATTATAAAACTGATAACTAGCACAGAAAGCGTAAAACAATAATAGTATTTTCAAAAGCTTACACCTTACCGCGTATGTTTATTTTCCGGAAAACCAGCGCGTCCTTCTCACGAGTCAATCGACTATAGTCAACAAATCAGTAGAAGGTGGTATTTAT